TTAAGTTCCGTTACTAGATAGTAAATTAGGTGATTAGAGCCAATTTTTTGTCAGACATCGACTAAACAAAAGAGAATTATACACAGTTTAAGAAACAGAACCCCCCTTTGAAAAATCCTGGATCCGCCACTGATGTGGTTCATGACTTTATATTAAAACAGCATGTTGCGCAGTCTAAACTTGGAGGCCCTCAATGGTGAACAGGTTAACTCGTTTTTCTCATCTTCTAATACAGGAAGATGCCGATCACGAGAAGAGGTTAGACGAGCTTGAAACCTTACGCACTGATGTCATCAATACAGCTCGTCGTGCAAGGGAAAAAGAAGCGGAAGAGAAGGCTCGCATGCGGATATCAAGTAGTCTTGACAGCCCMGTCAGCTCCACGTAAATAAAAATAGACCTCTAGCTTGGGCGTAATGTTTTCTAATTTCAGACCACGTGACGGTTTTACTTGACTTTTTTGGACACGTGACATTCCCTATAGCGTTATTTCTTTGTTTAACGGTTACGCATGAGAAGACCCCATGAATATGGATACAACGCAAACAAAGAATCTTATTCTCAAAATAATGACACATGGTTTAAAATGGAAAAACGTTACGACCAAGGTAAAGAGCCCTGTCTTTAAGGGTAGTTTTGGCGGGGAAATGCCGAGTTTGTATTGTTCAGTCGTCACTACTTTAACGATTTAAAAAAAATTAAATTAAAAAGTACTGTATTTTAAAATAAAATGTTTGAAATTCGTTCATCGTATTCCTGCCTATGTGACTCAAAACCACACTCGCCGTAAGTTTCCTATTACCTCTTGTCTTATTTCTTTATTGTTATCATTGGAATCGAAGTTGGTTATTCTCGTTCTTATCTAGACACAATGAGGTTAAATCGAATATACTAGTATTTCATTGTGTAACCACGATCCTCAAATGTCACTAGACTCACGCGACTCAAACCAGACATACGGAAACAGCTGCTCCGCACCAACCGAATAGTTTCGAAAGTATAATTTATTTCTATTTTTTGCCGTATTACGCTCGGGTATCAAAAATAATAGAACAAAGATGGATGGATACCTCCTTTCTTACACTCAAACCGGCCCCACGTGCTTTCATCAGTTTCTCGGTATTTGGATACCCTGATGAAAGACTCGCACTCGTCTTTGATCTATTRCGTCTAACTTTAACCTTAACGTCTTAACCTGTGAAACAAGAATTTCTTGATAAAGTGTAATAGTCAAACTATAGTTCAAATGTACAGATTAGAAATGAATCTACTTACCTCTATCAGGCACCGTCCACTCATACCCGGAAATTTTTTACATCGGATTCTTTCTTTGCGGAATATGGCTTTATCGTAAAAACGCAAGTTCTCGAACACGGATACATACGTGCGGGCGAAAATTCGAAGATGCTACGTGTAGACTATCCGCGAGAATTTTTTTAAGGAATAATAAAAAATCCGTTTTCAAAAAAAGCCGGTTACTGTGGAAGGGGCCTTAGTCTACTAATTACCGTGTACATCYGCATTAGATTTAAAAGCACTTTACGGCAGCTTTTTCCTTTACTTCCCTGTTACGTTGGATCTTGAATTCCCTCTTCCCAGCTTTACAGCCTCATGCAAGTCCCCTCATACCACATATATAATGCAAATGTTTTCGATACCCTGAAACAGCCACTGTGCTAAACAATGCAAAGTCAGAGCATGGCTCATTCACATACACTTGTTTCAATAAAGTTAGTTATCAAAAACCTAGAAARCTGAGATCACTGAGGATCATTTTGATTCCTTAGAGAATACAGGAACAATAGTCATAATTAAAGAACAAAAGCAATGTGAAAAGGATTGTGGTCTAGAGACGGGGGTAAAACGTCATCTCGCTTCAGGCTTATTGGAAAACCTAACAAAATCACGTGACACCGAGTTCAGGAATCGAATCAGACACCCCAGCTGCAGAGGTGAGAAGTGAATGTACTATTATGTATGCCACCCTTGATTACAAAAAGAACCTTTATGGCCTTGTGGTTAACACTTGGCACCCTTTACCCGCCCACAACGCAAGTTGACTACACAAAAACTACACTTTTTGGGCCACAGACACTGCAGGGCCCAGTTGTACAAAGGGTTAGATAGCGTTATCCAAGGGATATATCCTTATCCAGTGGATAAGTCGATGCTGTTTTTCAATACATTTATCCACTGGATAAGATTTATCCATTGGATAGCGGGCTATGCACCCTTCGTACAACCGGGCTCTCTTGACTAAGTTACAAGTATTTTGTCACTAGTTTATAAATCCATCCATTAAATTCATAAAATATAGATTAGCATTTATATTCACAAAAAAAACCCGATTGACAAGATGTGATAGAGCAGATTTCATACAAGTGGGAAATACAATGACATGCTATACTATGTATCATGATGTATGCTATATTCTACAGCGTGAATTTATTATCACAATGAACCCATTAAATGTCATAACACTTTTCCCTCTCATATGTATAATCTGCTCCAACTAGCTCCATTGATCAAGCAGATTTCGTGCAAGTGGGCAACACATTGACATTTTATTAGCTTAAAAATGAAACCATTACGTGTTTTCCCACTGACAAGAAATCTGGTGAAACTATCTATAGATGTTGTTTGAGCAGATTTCATCTAAGTGGGAAATACTATTTTATGCTGTAATAATTTAGAGAGTGCGTCATTATTATGCCTTCTGATTGGCTTATAAGACGGAAACCAATTAAGTGTCATTATGGTTCCCGCTCAAATGAAATCTGCTCCTACAGTCCGATCGCTGACATTTACAACAAGCAATTCTTAAAGGATTTTGGGGGTTGTTTTCGCTTCTGAAGGCAGGAATAAATTTCAACCACAGTAATATAAAAAGAACTGAACAAAGCATCGGTATTTCATATCATTTAAGAAATTAAAAAATATTTTTTTGACTTAAAGTATGCAGGTGCTATATCATCTCCAATTATTTATTTACAAACAAATATAATCGAAGATGCTAATAATTTTGTTTGTTTAAATTTCGAGATTTTTAAGAACACGCCTATACTCATACCTTCGAAATTTACAGAATATAAAAGATATGAACATTGCAAAAACCAATTTCACAATGCATTAACATCGACCAGTAACGACCAGTACTGATCAATGTATCAATTATTTTGTACTCCCATAATCATTGCCCTGGGAATAACATATGTATTTTCATGCGTCACTTTTTTCACGAGCATTGTCTTCTTAAAATCACTAAGCCATCCATCATCTAGGTGACTTTTTCATCATCTTCATCATTATGCTAAATCTAAAGCTCACTAATTCTTCTCTACTCCTTAATGTCTACATTGAGGATAGTAATTTTGGTTAACGGGGTGGCGGAGGCGGCGGTGGAGGTGCTCCTCTCATTGGAGGGGGCGGAGGTGGTGGAGCACCCCTCATAGGTACTGATGGAGGACGCTGATTCCCACCTTAAAACAGAAAAAGTAAGAATCAGCTTTTTAATAAAAGGATAATTTCAAATTTACGAACTTCGTTCCAACTTACGTCTATTTGCATTCCATAAGATAAAATATGAAATGGTTGAGAAATCTGAGAGTTGATTGGTCAAATGGAAGTGATGTGCTAACAACAGTACATGGAAGAGATATCACTTCACTTTGATTGAAACCCATTGATTTTATTATATACCAACCTTTTGGTTTTTGAGCAGTGTGACTTGGGTAAGTCTTCGGTGTTTCGATATATGTCTCTGGTGGAGGGAGTTCATTTATTGAAATAAAGGAGAATCTATCTTCAAAATTATCTAAAAAGAATGAGGATTTTGTTTAACATACATAAGTGTGTACAATGTTAGCCTGCGTCACATCCGGAATTTTCTTCGTACGAAGAAAATTCCGGATGTGACGCAGGCTAGTACAATGTATAACAAAAATCGTTTTATACAAGTGAAACATTTGCAAGAAAAATAGGGAGAAAAATAAAGAAAGACCCAGAAAAGATGTTATACTGTATGTGAAAAATGAAACACGTATAAAAATGTATTTTATCTAAACTACCCTAGTAATAATGGTAGACTTTTACCAGACACTGTAATAGGCCATTATACGGATCCCGTTACTCAACCTCAGCCTCGTCAGCGTGTAATTATTCTTTAGAATTTGACTACAGTCCGCAGTAATGATAGGAATTTACACATCAACGAACAATTGAAACACTTAAAAATTTCACAGGTTGTACGCAATTTCTAAAGAATATATTGAGGATTGAGTAACGGGATCCGTGAAATGGTCTACTCCCTTGTTTTGCGCTGAGCATCTTTCTGCACATAGGAGTAAAATCATGGAACTTACACAGTTTGGCCATTTTCCTTTCATATACTAAGTAAAAACTCTATCCAAAGCTAAATTTCACTTTTTCCTTATTTCTTAATCGAAAAACTGCGATTTTTGTAAAACACGACCCAGACTTTCCTCAGGAAAGTGAGAGTTTTCGACCATTTTGCGATGTTTTTTCAAAATAAATCCAAAACGAGAATGGTGACCCCCATTTTTTATTTCACGTATTAACTTAGAAGAACGTAGAGCATGCAGCTACAAAATGTGAATAAACATTCATCGAACGTATATATGTAATGGTGAAAATAGATGAAGGGTTCGATTTTAGGATGACTCTGAAGAGCATACGTAGTTCCATATTTCAACAAAAAGACTACAGGCATTTGTACAATATTACTAAAGATGATTAAATGCTTATCTTAGTTAGTGTAATTAAGATTACCTTTTGTAGATTGCTTAAAACAGGTAATTTTGCAAGGAATGGCGTTATTTTCATTTCGCCCTCATGAACTACGAGTCAATAGCACGTTTGGCCTTCGGCTTCATGGGCTATTGACTAGAAGATATAACTAGCTAAAAACTAGTGTGAGCTGTTTCTGTGTTTCTAATGAAACAGTAATGATGAAAAGGTATATCATACACCGTGAAAAGATGAAAAAACGTTTCAGACGCTGGTCCTTCGTCGGAGTAAAAGAGTTCTTTTACTCCGACGAAGGACCAGTGCCGAAACGTCAGTACGTTTTTTCATCTTTTCAAGGTGTATAATTCACATTTTTCATCATTACTGGGCTATTGACTCATAGCCTCTTCTGGCTCAAAGACTAATTGCTAAATAGCCATTGACAGTTAGATTATTCTGGCTATGGGTCTAATTATCGTTAACAAGTTATTCACATATATCAACATACTAACCTGAGTTTGGTGGTGGTGGAGGTAGAGAATTTCTTGATCCAGGCGTTAATGGTCCATTTGAGATGTTTGGTCTTGGACCAGAAGGAGGAGGAGGAGGGAGTCCTGTTCTCTGTGGAGGACCCCTACTAGGTGGTGGTGGAAGAGGTCCACCAGGTCCTAAATTAGGAGCACGACTTGAAGGTGGTGGAGGTGGAGGGGCATTAGATCGTTGTGGAGGAGGTGGTGTGGGTGGCTTTCCAGGTGGTGGTCCTGATGTTTCTCGACTTGGTGGTGGTGGAGGAGGAGCTTGGCCTGGCGGTCTGCTCTGTGGTGGTGGTGGTGCCCTTGATGGAGGAGGGGCTGGAGCTTGAGGACCTCGTCTTGGAGGTGGGGGAGGTTGCTTTGCTTGGACGTTTGGTGGAGGTGGTTGAAATGATGGAGGACCTTTTCCAGGATGTGGTGGTGGAGGCCCAGATGATCCTGGGCCTTGTCCTGGAGGAGGAGGTAGAGGACGCCCTCCACCATGTGGTGTAGCTGGTAAAGGTCTTGTTGACCCTGATGGAGGGGGAGGAAGTGGCCTATTTTCATTTCTCGATGGAGGAGGGGGTGGAGGTGCCCCAGGTGATCTGTCTGTGGAATGAGGAGGTCCCCCAGTTGACCTACCGGGTGGAGGAGGTGGAGGTCCCCCAAATGACCTATCAGGTGGAGGTGGTGGTCCCCCAGTTGACCTACCAGGTGGAGGAGGTGGAGGTCCCCCAGTTGACCTACCGGGTGGAGGAGGTGGAGGTCCCCCAAATGACCTATCAGGTGGAGGTGGTGGAGGTCCCCCAGTTGACCTATCAGGTGGAGGTGGCAGAGGTCCCCCAAATGACCTRTCAGGTGGAGGTGGTGGAGGTCCTCCAAATGACCTATCAGGTGGTGGTGGAGGTCCCCCAGTTGACCTATTTGGAGGAGGGGGTGGAGGAAAGCTACTTCCAGATGTATGTCTACTAGGTGGTGGTGGACGAGGGCCTGGTATTCGGTCATTTGACCTACTGGGAGGTGGAGGTGGTCCCATGTGCGATGGTTTTCCTGGCAATGAATGTGGTGCCCCAAACCTAGGGGGTCCATTCCTGTTGGATGATGGTGGACTACTCTCTCTGTTAACTGTATTGCGTGCTTGGGGTCTAAATCCTGTAGGTTTCATTGCTGGTGCTCTTCCTCCTAATGGAAAAACAACAATCACGTGAGCTTATTCACATTTACTGTACCTTCAATCAGTCAGTCAGTTGATTGCAAACAAGAAAAAAATAGACTGAAAAAATAAAATGTTCTCTTGTCATTTATTTTAATATCTGATACTAAAGCTCTGACTGGCAAGTTAAATCWTTTTTTTTTTCTTATAAAAAAAGGCACCCAACATATGTAAAACTAATTTTATTCCTTCTGAAAATTTGGGAAGTCTGTTATTATTAATTAAGAAGAAATATTCTATATTGTAAAAGATTTTAGGTCTAAAGACTAACCTCCAGAGCCAGGTGCTTTTCTTTCTCCTGCAGGTTTTAATTTGGGCATCCCTCCTGCAAATAGTCCACCTAATCCTCCTCCTCCTCCCATTCCTCCTCCCATTCCACCACCACCGCCGCCGCCGCCACCTCCACCACTTCCACCACCTGTTCCATTTACACTTCCACTACTACTAGACTTCTTAACATCTAAAAAAGAATAAAAGTATAACAAAATTAAAATCATATATAAACAAATAACAAAGCTACAACCATTTTTGAGACAAGTAGATTTTGAAAGGTTTATGTCTTTATAGAAGACAATTGCAATTTTATAGTCATTTTGGTGCCATTCACACCAACAGCTTACTGCAAAGTTTAATAAGTGAAACTTCTTTCCAAACATCTAAGATATACTGAAGCTAACAAATGGTACAGGTTCTCTTGAATAAGCACAAAAAATTATATATTTTTTCTTTTACTCTATCAACCAAAACAGGGCCATATCATTTGTCATTGTATTCTCTTGTAAATGAGTTGATAAAGTAAATAAACAACAGCAAAGTAAATTTGTTATTATGCTTCATTTGTGTTTGATATAAAATTTTGAGATCATCATTTTTTAAGAGCTTGATATTGTTTTTATTTTCAAGTTTTCATGTCACATTACAAAATAGCTAGGGAGTCCATGAGCCAGTGGTACAATTTTTATTCTTGAATGGCATTATCACACTGATATCAGCCCTAAATGTGTAATAAAAACATATATGAAACAAATATTGTATTATTATATTACACCAATATATACACCTACTTGCAAGAATGTTGTCATACCATATTAAACATTAGTGATTTAGTGAGAAATGAATACATTAAAAGACAAAAGAAAACGTTCAGCTTCAGTGATCTTCTTTTGTTTTTTAATATAATTCCTATCCCACTAAATCACTATTGTTCTATTTTCATTTGACAACGTTCTTGCAAGTAGGYGTATAAACAAGATAGATTAAGGTAAACTCACTTCCTACAGTTGGAGCACTTCTGTCATTTGTAACAGCTTTCTTAAGTTTGGCTCCCTTATGGATTTGACTTAATAATGCACCTCTTTCAGTGCCTTTAGCGGCCTTTTTATAACCGCCTGGTGGGACTGAAGGGCCAGCGGGGGCAGGAGGTGGAGGTGGTCCTGGTGGAGGGGGAGGCGGTGGCATCTGTATTGATTTATTCTCTTCTTATTTGTAGCACTTCTCCCCCTTTCTTCACCTTGTTAGAAACCTAGGGGGAAATGGAACTATTATTCACATAATTTATTTTTTTTCCAGTCTGGTGCAAGCATTTTCAGGTCTTTCTTGGTGTTGCAAGATGTATTGTATTCTGGGTTAGGGTTTTTGTATTGCAGGGTATTGTTTAGCTCCAAACTCATTGTTCTCTGCTGTTGTTTTATTATCTTCATGGCTCAGGTACTGCCCTGCAACACCAAAAAAGGGCCACATTTCCTATCTCTGACCATGGTCTGGTATCATGGGATAACAGATTGCTAAATAACAACAACAACAACACAACAACAACAAATCAAAACAAGCTACAAAGTACAGTAAATGGGAAAAAATTAATAATTTACCCTCCTAAAGTTGGTTCAGATAGGGAAAACTGTGCCCTCAGCCTTGACCTAAGCCTCTAACAGCTTCAGTCCATATATTCAAGACCTCTGGAATGGTTTTTCCATATCCAGACGTCATGGCCAGTAAATAAACCTCTCTATATTTTTACAATATTTTCATAGTTTATTAGGACGAATCCATGAGGACAAAGCAGGCTTATACATGTATAATGTCATTACATTGATAACATCTGCTATGTTTTAGTAGCTTATAGTAAAGTAAAGCTTTTCTCCTTGTGTTCTGTTTCAAGCTGGTTGAATACATGCATGTATTCTAAAATCAAAAGTAGAGTGGTTTTTATAAACCCGTGAAATACACACTAGCCTAATAAAAATTAGTAGACCCTAATTCCATTGTGTTCTTTTGTTGTCATAATATTTTCACTTTTATACACTTCTTAATGATATCTGTTTTCTGGGTTTATAAAAATCACACTATTTCTCTAGAACCACATCTTTAGACTTATAATCAAGTTATATAGAGGATATTACATGGGCGCGCGGAGATACGAAATTTATCTTCGAGTGTTGAAAAGATCTCTCACAAGTGAGCGCAGCGAACGAGTGAGAGATTTTCAACACGAGAAGATAAATTTCGTATCTCCAAGCGCCCATGTAATATTCTGTTTATTATATAATTATCAATGGAGTATGTTTTGGCTTTTTCAGGCAATTATTTCCGTGTATTTTTGAATAGTCATCGCAATGGTGTTATCTTCACACGTGAAAATAACATGTTATTTTCACGTGTGAAGATATCAATTTTTCGAAATAGAGAAAAATAGATATTTCATTGGTAATTATATAATAATATCAAAATCTTTGAACTTTTTAAACTTTCTTTGTCAGAATAACTGAACAAATGTATCTTTATGTTTAATAATGTAACCACATGCAACCAATATATATTATTCATACCAATATACATATCTTGTAGAATAAAATTTCAAAATATTTGATAAATCCTTCGATTAATTTGTATAATTATTATATGTATTTTCCTAAATTGCACTATAAGTGCATGCCAAGGAATTGTTGTTTATCCTACAATACACCATGGTTTTTAATACTGTAAGGTAGATGGTTTAGGCTTAACACACCACAATGCAAAACATTACCATGTTTGATGGAACAGTAACATAATACTGCTTCAAAATGATTTCAAAATTAATGTTATCTTGTACAAGTATTCGTGCCACATTTGTTACTGTAGTCTTAACTTAGGCTCTATTAACATATTAACGTAAGACAAAAACAAAACTTTTTCCTTGATATACAATAAAAAATTGTACACACATACGAACACACATGTACAAAATATACAAAACTGACATTTTAAAATATACACATATATGCACAAATTTATATGTWTATATTTAATGAAACATTATGTATGATGATGCTTCAGTAAACATTGACATACGACTCTTCAACATAAAATTTATATCATTTCTTCAAAAAAAGCCAAATAAAGTGAAATAAATACAGCTAAAAATTTAAATAATAATATGAACAATAAAACTATGTTACTCATTAGCCAGATTGGACAGCTTGCTGAATCAGTTGAGACACAACTGAGCTGATTTTTCAGTTTGATGTTACCTATGTCTGAACTACTTTTTTTAATAGTCTTGTTAATAGGCCAACAGTTCATCAATCTTTTATTCGAATCCAACTTGTCTGTTCACAGTAATATGTTTTTTCATATTTATTTTAAGGCTGGCAAATGTCACATGTTAATAAAGTGAAACAAAGTAAAAAAATGTCCATCAGCTCAGTACTTACTCATGTAACCATAATCTAATTTTCCCAAAAAATCAAGATTATCTGTTTGGAGAACTAATTTAGATATGTATGTAGTAAATAAAAAATTTAGTATTGGTCGTGGTTTTAATTACTAAACTTTACACCAGATCTTCCATCCATCACGACAAATTATTGTTCAGCTCACCTATCTGTACGAGAACTTCCGCTTCTACAGTACCTCAGCGAGATTACGAATTTTTAGAAAAACAAAATCGGTCAGTTTAAAACCTATAAACTTAAGAAGAAAATGACTGTTGATAACAGTTTTTAACTTTTTCAAAGACGTTTTAGTCACCGGCTGGAGATGGATGGAAGTTGAAATTTGAGGGTGTCTTTAAAGTCAACTTGTGATTTGTAGACAGAACATTGAACCTTGGATTTAAATTTCATTTGATTGGAACAAAACCAAATGTGGAAGTCATTCTGAGAACAATTGAATTATATGATATGAAGAATGAAATAAAGTCCAGTTCTGGTATTAAAACTCTACGATATAAAAATCTTCTTGTCTTTACAGCACAATAAACACACATAAGCCTTGTAAGCTAAAGACTTATATTATATACTAAAGGGCTCGAGAGGGCTAGAAAAGAAAAATGATAAACCAACATTTATAGCTAAGTAAATCACTTTCGTATAACAAACTATTGAATACGTCTTTCAAGTGACTAAATGTGAAAGTATTCTTATYTTGGACGAGGAAACTACCGTGTTTCCGTGCAGAAACTGCTTGCAACATCTGAAAAATTCCAGTAGGAAGCACCAAGATGTTGAGTATAATACATTCCCACGGAGACAGAGGCCTACCTTAATATTCAGCTCCAGAACATCCAAGAAACCATGTTGTCCTTTGGTAATGAAGAAATATTAAAAAACCGGCGTATATTGTATAAAGTTTGCTCTATTATTAGGGAAAGTCGGTTATAGGCTCAAGGGAAGATGGCCGCGTATCAACTAAACTAGCAAGCTTAATGTCGTCACCCACCCCTGTTTGTGACGTACTTCCTGTTCACCAGTCCTCTGGAAATCTCGTGCTTTCCCACAGGCAGCCCAAACAAGGTTCCTGTGTATGGTTTATAAGGGATGCATGGGAGTTATGATAAAGTTACGAAAATAAAATGTTTCACTCAACAATTTGCTTCAAAACTTGTTGCAGTCGTTGCTTTTACTTTGTTCAGTCTTCTGGCAACGTTTCAGCGCGATTTAAGGCCGTTTAGTGGGTTTTTTCAAAATCCGCTCTTCTCTACCTTATTTAGGTAGAGAAGAGCTGATTTTGAAAAAAACCATTAAACGGCCTCAAATCGCGCTGAAACGTTGCCAGGAGGCTGAACAAAGTAAAAGCAACAACTGCAGCAAGTTTTGAGGCAAATTGTTGAGTGAAACATTTTATTTTCATGACCTTAATCATAACTCCCATACATTCCCTTATAAACCATACACAGGAACCTTGTTTGGGCTGCCTGTGGCTTTCCGGAAATAAATTTGTCAAAAATGCCCTCGCCTGGAAAAACTCCTTTTACGATGGCAAGGGAGCAACCTCGAAAGTGAGTGTCTCGTATTTAAAAATACAGATGACTATTATGTATGAATTAAATTCCAATCCAATCTGTTAGTCAGAACCATGCCCTCACTTCAGGATTAGCCAAGAGGTTGTCAGGGTGTCAATAATTTGAAAGACAAGACGAAAAGAGTGGGGGTGGGGCAAGATGGGGCTGGAAATGGGCTGAGATTTCAGATATTAGGAAAAAGTACAACTAGAAGGGGGCTTAAGTCTATAATCTCTGAGAGAACAAAATTATTTATTTTTTTGCACACGAATTAACAGTTACATTATGATCCACAGAAAAACACTGTTAAAAATTACTGGAGAAACAAAATCATGATTACAAACGTGAATTAAATAAGCATGCAGTGGTGGTCAAAGAAGCATAAATTTTCAAGTTAACCACCACTTGATTTTATTATCTTCAAATACTGCTGCCATGTTTTCAATCAATTTCTCCAGTCGGAATGACAAGACAATGCAGTCAAGTTGGCTTTTTTAACGATAGTTAAAATATTAATTCGATCACCAGGAAATATTAATTCAAACTGAAACTTTTTATACCTAATTACAACCAAAAATGCAATTATCACCAACACAAGGAGAAAGGCCAAAGAAACGTAACAACCTTATGATTAGTGAACATAAAAAATTCCATGACTTTAACAAACATTGATGTACATTTATTCACATTCAAACAGCCAAAATTCAAGGATCAAGAAGAAAATTTTCAAGAACAAATTTTATGAAGTTTTGGTTATATTTTTAAGGGAATTAATGAATCTGATGATGAAACAAGAAATGAAAGTTAAACGATTCGACAGATTTCAGATTCAGATTTATTTTGCACCATAGCGAAATTAAGTGCTATTGATGCCTAAAAATGGTTTGAACTGACTAATCAAACTCCAGTTATCCTACTGAAGAGTTACGAAAATAATCATGACAGTTGCCTGAACATTGTTCAATTTATGTCAAACTTTATTTCACAGTTTTGCAATCACTACTTTAGTTCACAAATGACAAACATAATTATCTTGTTTCAGTGAGCAATCTCCTATCAGTTATTACAACATTCAGAAGATTTAGCAGTAATTAAGATGCAGTACATAAGTGAAAAAATTAGAAAACTCCTTACATTCAAAATAGTTTGAAAAAGTTCACCATACATTATAAAATGCATAAACATCCAAGCTATTTTTAGAGGTTTCTGACATTAATGTTATGTGTCAGCTGAAGCAGCACTGCCTTGATCTTGCATATTAATGAGAGGTTTTACTTGCTCAGTCCTCAAATTTACCCAAAATATCACCATCTCTATAAACATGATATTCCTGTTGAAAAGATAATAATTATGAGAGAGTTTAATTAGTAAAAGTATGTTTTAGTAAAGTAGGAGAATAAATTTAACTTAATACACTGTATGGTTTGTGATGTTTAGAAACTGACGTTTCGGACATTAGTCCTTCGTCGGAGTAAATGTGACTTACTCCGACGAAGGACTAACGTCCGAAACGTCAGTTTCTAAACATCACAAACCATACGGTGTATTAAGTTAAATCAATTCTCCTACTGTTCTATTCCAATCACCGACACGGTCAACTAGTTTATCTAGTTTCTACCATGTTTTAGTAAAGACAGACCAACTTGCTTTTGCAAGGTTTTTTGGCAACATAAATTCATTATCCACATTCATAAACAGAAATGGGATTTATAGCATAAATCATACATATGCATATAAAAAAACAAACCAAAATTCAAAAAAGCCATAATATTTCATTTGCCATCTTATATATTATATTCAAATGGATGTAATTCCTTGTTATTTTCTGTTAAATAAAAGGAAAACCACTAATTACCTTGTCTTCCAAATTAATTTTTGTTCCTCCATATTCAGGTAGAAGAACTTTGTCACCAACATTAACACTCACAGGTACATTATTCCCATCCTGGAATCAAATAAATTTGTAATTAAATTTTTTTTAATTAAAAGAAGTAATAAAGTATAGAGTGCAAACAACTAATCCATGAAACACTAATTACTAAATAGTACAAAATAGTGCCAATTAAACAATAGAAAACAATGGAATTTCCATGAAGTTGTTCTATTTAGTATTACTAAATTTTCACGGTTATATTGTTTGCACTGATGTGCTTATCATCTATGTGAGGGTTTATCCCAGAAATATATGGCATACCCACAAGTCTTTCTGTGCAATACTAAGGTAACAAGACAATGTCAAAACGTTATATCCAAATTAACACCAGCTGGAATAGACTAACCTTATCCCTCATTCCAGAGCCAACTGCAACAACAGTGCCTTCTAGAACCTTGGATTGACTTTTCTCTGGCAGCAAGACACCACCTTTCGTTTTCTTAATTAATTATGAGACAATAAAAAATGAAAATTCATTTGGGAAAAAATCCTTGTTTTATTACATCCAGGTGACAATACAAAGATTAAGAGTAGTATTGGTGCAAGGTAGTCACCCCCTTATAAAATTCTTAGATCCATGCCCGCACTGAGTGCTTTAAGAACAAGAAACAAATTAACTTACRACTTCTGGAAGGAATTTTTCTACCAAGATTCTGTCAAAAAGAGGCTTGAATCTTCTTATAGCACCAGCCTGAAACAGGAAATAAAGATTATGATGGCCAAGTGGCTTTTAAATTAACCAGACTTGTGTTATGTATATAGAGCTACTTTCATGTATATTATTATTGATTTACACTCAAATCATAATTTCAATTTCCATATGCCATTTTATTTTATGTTATATATGCCCACATTCTGCAGAAAGATAAAATCACACTTAACATTTATTCAAAGTTCAAGTCTAGACCCAGTGTAGTGACAAACATCTGGTTTCAGATCATAACATCAATCCTAAGCTTCCCTTTGATCACACCAGCAAATTCAATTGTCTATTTTATGAGATACTCTTCATCAAGGACTTTAAGCCTAATTTAAATACCCAAACTGATTCTTATTGTGCCAAATTGTTTTTTAATGTTATTCTGATGCTCTTGGTGTTTTTATACACCCAAGTTAGTGTTTTAGTGTTTCACCATTGTATTGTTTTTTACGCTTTATATATATTTGATTGCCAGGCTTCTTATAATTGACTTGATAATGAGTCAATGCAACATCCAAATGTTTTTACATATTATAGTTTTTACCTAATGATTTTTTTTTATTATTATTAATTTTATCTTTTAATTAAAAACTAAATCTTTTCTCATACATATTCAAAGCCTGCAGGTTTTATTTTGTGTTTTCTCAGTATTGAAATCCCCTTATACATGTGAAAATTTAGAAGAAAATTAGACCAGCCCCTATAAATCCCACACTTATCATAAGGATTGATATCAATACACATCTATTCTGGTCCTGTGTGGAATTGTTTTAGTGCATGACAATTTGTATATACATGTAGAGATGTACATAGATGAGGGCAGTGTTGCCCTAATTCACTAAAGACTAGGTTGCTAAATAGAATGATAGGATTTGTAATTGTCATAGACCACAGGTAATCCAGTCAACGATCTTTAATGAATGAACAAACAGCTTGTATGTACAAACACAAATTCAGACTTGCTTACTTGATCAGTCTACTCTAACCTTCTTAACAACTTGTCTTGCTTACTTGGTGGCTTCCACTAACTTAACAATTTGACTCTCTTGTCCACGAGCCCTGACCAGCACACAAACACTAAATAGCCCTTAAGCACTTACCCTCACCACTCATGCAAACTTACTGTATGCTCTATTTCAAACTTGATTACATAATGATCAGTGCTAAAAACTAGTAACTAACATCATCTAGAACATTCTAGAAAAATATTGATTCCAGAAACTTCCAGAAACATAGGTTTTAGAAACCGACATTCTAGAAACTTCCAGAAAACCCTATGTAATCTAATTAGAACATTCTGCACAACTGTAAAAAACTATAGAAACTTCTAGAAAGTAAATTTACATTACAAATATGGGAATATAGCGTTCAAAGTCCAATTGATGGTTTTCAACCATTCCCAAGAGAATTAAATAACAAAAGACACAGCAGCCATGTTGGAGGATATAACAAAAGAATTCATTGACAATTCTTTTGTTAAGTTCTTCCAACATGGCCACTGTGAAAACCATCAATATTATCCATAACCAGAGGTGGACCCAGAGGAGGGGTGCAGGGGGTGTGCACCCGAACCCTGGTTTGACTTTGTGTCCCTACTTCGAAGAAAATCAAAACCTTCTAAGGCTTTGTGTTAGAGTAAACATAGTAAACTTACTTATGTGCATTTCTGTAAAGAAATAAATGTTTGACCGGTTCTAATTTAATCTCAATGATAACAAATAATGCTATAAAGCTTAACAAGCACAAGAATCTTGAACATATTTTGATGTAATTAGTCATGTGAACACAAGTTTCTATCTTGCCCTCTATAAATAAGTCATACTTGTGCATACAAAATAGCAGAACGCAAATAATTTGTACATAAAATTTACTACACTTTAAACTTTACTAGTATTGAAATCCATGTACAAATCTACGCTGGGTCTAGATAATAGAAGCTGATAAAGGCCTTGTATATGTGAAGATTACATAACGACAAAAAAAGGGATAAAGAGACATTGATGGGAATTTTTGGCATTATACTCTTCAATATAGAGAATTCTAGTAATCCTTAGTCTACGTAAAGGAAGTTTAGAGCAAAGGAGGCTATAAATGCAGGGTTACCGTATGCATTGGCAGCAATTGTACTAATTTAGTTTGGACATATTTGCAAAGCTAATAATCATTCTGAAAAATAACCAATAAAATACTAGCCGTCGAGGCGTAAGGAAATACTCTTGGAACAATATATACGAGTTTTTAAACGTGATAAAGAAAAAACTTACCATTTTGAACAGGAATGCAGCAACTCAGCCTTACACGCCGAAAATAATTTGCACGTGGAACTTCTTACGCAAGCGTGTCAAAGCATGAACAAGAAACTTCACTGGGGAGGGGACGGGCAAGGAAAAGGTTACCTCAAAGAAATCTAGCATTTTTTTATATGCTTATTTTTGAAATAAGCTAGGAAACTTTCAAACTACAGAAAATATCATGCAGTGAGCGTTTCCTAGCAATACTATTAAATTTTGTCGCATTTAAGAGTGTTAATCAACTTAAAAGTTTTGCCCTCCCCGCCAAATATATTTTTGTACCATAGAATGCTCATGATGAGCATGCGTACTGACAACAGAAGGCGAAGAAAGGTTATCCCTTGAATGTAGTAATAGGCCAGTAATATATTCCTCATAGCACTAAAATAAGTCTTTATTTTGAGAAAGAACTGCAAATTTTAAAAGGAAATATTAGACTATTTCTAAAATTTGATAAATTTTTAAGAAATTTATGAAACTTTATGCATTTTGATAGCTTTTACTGAAATCACGTGAATAATTGCATCATCCTGAACTGGCCAATCAAGGAAGAGTTTCTAAAGACCTTTTAGGGCTTATAAAAGAATCTTTCTAACTTTCTGCAGCGTGTAACCACGTGTGTGTGTCGGAGTGAGTGAAATCTCGCCTGAATTTATTGGAATTCCCGTCCTCTCCTTCTTAAAGCTCATCAAGTATAAAAGTAAGCAAATTTAGGTATTCAAATACGTTAAAAATTCAAGATTCTGTACTTTGTAAGCTCTGAAAAAGAGCTGCTTGTCATGTTGTAGTTACGTCATTTCATCCACCGGCGATTTGAAATGGCGTGTCTTCACTAAATATTTTACTCGTAGATGCTTTGATTTAGCAAGAAAACTTTGCAAGTTTGCTTAGAGCGATACTTCCCACCTAATTGCGCACAAGATTTATCAAAAATAAGTTATTATTTTGTTATTTAAAGCAGTTTTCAATCTACTAGAAAAATTGCAGCATGTCATGGTAGTTACGCCAAAATGAGCTTGCGAGCTTTTATCCTAAAACGTTATTTCAACTCTTCCAGTTAGACGCCAAACTTGGTTTTATAGTTAATTTTTGTATTGAGAAAATTCTAATATGGGCATTTGTCTGTGAAGGTACCAAGGGCAGATCCAGGGAGCATTCATTGAGTGGATTTAGCTAGCAACCCCCCTCTTTGAAATTTTAGAATAAGAATAAAGCCCCCACACACACACACACACAAATACACACAGACACACTTTTCAAGTCGCTTTGCTGTTCCTGCACACAGGGTACAATAAAAGGGATCTTGTGCAAATCGACACACATTGTGTAATTTCCTTACTGTCCCCTCCCCCCAATTCCTTAGGGATGCACAGTCTTTTCTATAAGAACACCCATTTTGATCTGCCCATCTTTCCATCCACCCTTTATTTACATGAATGTAATGACCCATAGCTCAATCAATCATGATTACAGATCCATATGATGGACTTTTTAGTTTAGCTTGCAGAGGAGTGCTCATTTCTTTCACCTCACTCCCAAACTCTACCCAAAGATAGTAATTCTTTGTTTTTCTGTGCCTATGTGTATACCTAAAAATTCACAGATGCTGCTATAATCAACTCATTTTAACTCAATTATATTTTATTTAAACAGTTCATAATCATGTACCGATTACCAAGTTTAATTCGTCCAGGAAAGCTAGTACTATCAAGCCGTACACTTGTCCCACGACTAGGAGCTAGTTTTAGTACCTCCCAACAGCAAAATGCTAAGGAACTTAAATTTGGTGCTGATGCCAGAGCAAACATGTTGCAAGGGGTGGATATTTTGGCTGATGCTGTTGCAGTCACTTTAGGCCCAAAGGTACTTACAAAGTTCTTCAAGATATTAAGGACCTCAGCTGGTTGGGTCACTTGTATTGAATAGTCCTTGATTATAGAGTTTTTAAGTTGTGACATATTTCAAGGTCCAGCTGCTTGCAAAGACTTCTAAAATAAGGCGAAAAATGTCTTCAATGATTTACTGTGGTTTTCAAAATTTTGCGAACTCTAACATTTCAACGGCTTGTTGTGAAATTGATTTTCACTGCCGCTTGTCAAGAATATAGAAGGTACAGACTGATTAATTTTGATTGATGGCAGAGAAAAACTGAATTTCAGCATGTTTCTTGTAACTACTGTACTGAGTTTGCAGAATATGCAAACCCACAGTAACCTTCAAATGAAACAATTAGCATTTTGTACAGAAAATTCTGTCATGAAGTAAAAGAAAGATAAACTTTTGTAGAACTGCTTTTTGTTATAGGCCTGGAAATTGATTTTCCATACAAGTAAGAAGATCTATATGGCTTGTTCAGTGTTATTTGAGTATCTTTCACCTGCATATACATGTATGTACAACCAATCTTACAATGATTTTGTTTTTTCTAGGGAAGAAATGTTATAATTGAACAAAGCTTTGGTGGACCCAAAATAACCAAGGATGGTGTTACAGTAGCCAAAGCTATCGACCTTAAAGACAGATTCCAAAATATTGGTGCTCGTCTAGTTCAGGATGTAGCAAACAACACCAATGAAGAGGCTGGAGATGGAACGACAACAGCAACTGTTCTGGCCAGATCAATAGCAACAGAAGGTTTTAGTAAGGTGTCTAAAGGTGCCAATCCACAGGAAGTTAGAAAAGGTAAGTAGAGGCATATAACTGCCTTATGTCATCATTGGGGAAGTTTCTTAAAACAGGGTTGATAATTAGATATCAACCTCCTTGAAAGGTTGATAACTAGATATCAACCTGAACATTCCTTTGTTTAACAAAAGAAACTTGACTTATTGATAATATATCTACTGTTATGCCATTAGTTTTAAAAAATTTAGGCCAATATTCATTCAACCAACAATGTTGTTGGGAAGAAGAACCTTCTGATAATTTTCTCAAGGACTAGATAAAGTATTCTTCATTGCTGTTTTTATTATGACCATCACAATGAAAAATGTACATTGTACAAATTATAGTGTTAAATTAAAACTAGATTTACTTGATATTTTTGGTCAGTATTTAGATCATACATCGAAGTTACACYGATCGTTGTTTTGTTTATTAATGCAAATGGCTTTAGAATAACTCTTGGACACACAAAAATATTCTCGTACAAAATTTGCACTACATCTTTTACTAATTCTGGTTGACTTGTTCCTATTTCAGGTGTAATGGTAGCTGTTGATAATGTAGTAGAATCATTGAAACAAATGTCCAAACCTGTCACAACCCCTGAAGAGATAGCACAGGTAAGATTCAGTCAATTATAAACTCATCCGTAGGAAAGGCTTAGATGAAGGTGGTTTGGGTGACAATGGCAATGGTGATTTTAGTTAGAGGGTGCGACACTTGAAAGCCGCATCYTAGCACTGAAAAAAACTGATCAAATTTTGGCCCTCTATGATGCCTCTAGAGGAGATGAAATGAACACTTTACTAGGCAATCTACGCCATTGCAAAGAGCTACCAATGACAGAAATTCTTAGAGCAAACAGAGCCAACATCTAATCGGATCTGTTTAGGCCTTGATAGACTTTGTGGGTTAGTTCCATAAGAAGCCTCATTGTACTTTGCTCAATTTGTACGTTGTTTCTTATTAAGTTGTTTATTTACTATCTTTATGTTCCTAAATATTTTTAGGTAGCTACAATCTCAGCCAATGGTGATAAGAAAATAGGAGATCTGATCTCTTCTGCAATGAAAAAAGTTGGCAGAAATGGTGTTATTACAGTCAAGGTACTGAGAAAAACTTTGAAAAAACGTTGCTAGAAAAATAGCTACTATTACAAAAAATATATTATTTTGAATTTTTTAACTACATTATTACAGGATGGTAAAACTCTTAATGATGAATTGGAAGTTATTGAAGGAATGAAGTTTGACAGAGGATATATTTCTCCATATTTTATTAACACAGCCAAAGGTAGTCTTTATTAATTTTTGATCACTGATTACTGAATTTTATTGTAAATGTTATAACAGTGTTGTAATAATCATAATGTGTTGATTTTACAGGCCAAAAGGTTGAATATCAAGATTGTCTTGTACTTTTGTGTCAGAAGAAAATCTCTTCAATTCAACAAATAGTCCCTGCTCTAGAACTTGCTAACACCCATAGAAAACCTCTCGTTATTGTTGCTGAAGATGTTGATGGTGAAGCTCTTACCACCCTTGTCTTGAACAGGTAAAACACCGATAAATCTTTTTGAATGACTATATATTCCGCCAAAAACTTTGAATATTTGGAAAAGAACTTAATAAAACATAATGTCTTTATCTTTTTTAGACTTAAAGTTGGTCTTCAAATAGCTGCAGTAAAGGCACCAGGATTTGGTGATAACCGTAAGAATATGCTTCAAGATATGGCCATTGCAACAGGAGGAATGGTAAGTATCCAGGAATAAGCCAGTTCTGAAGGTAGCTCAGACGTGTGACACTTCAGTGCAGTTTGGAAATCATACAGGCTGCTGTACAAGTGTACACTTATGGACACTAGCGACAACTCCTGTGTAAATAGGTTGATCATGATTTGTGTGTATGATAAGTGGTGGGGGAAAATCATTTTTGGTAAATGTAAACGAATGAATGAACAAACAAATGAAAAAATGAAAAAATTGTGTTTGTCATCATAAAGGGCAGCATTTAGTAGCCGGTGGCTAACAAACCTGAAGCCCTCCTTCCATGATCAAATTGGAATTTCGAAGCAAATTGGATTTTCATTGAGGCATAATAAACTGGAGTACCCAGAGACAAGCTTACCCAGCACAGGAGGGAATCAACAAGCAACTCTGATATATTTTTCATTGAAGGTGTTTGGTGATGAGGCACTTGAAACAAAGTTAGAAGATATCCAGATACAAGACTTTGGAGAAGTCGGTGAATTATCTATCACCAAAGATGATACATTGTTCCTCCGGGGCAAGGGAAGCCAAGAAGATGTCGAAAAACGCTGCGAGCAGATCAAAGAAGAATTGGAAAGCACAAATTCTGATTATGAAAAAGAGAAGTTCAATGAAAGACTGGCTAAGCTATCTGATGGTGTGGCAATCTTAAAGGTGGGTAACTTCTGAAATTCGTTCATTGTTTTCTTGCCGCATATGTAGTTATTGGTTGGCTTTCTTTTTTCTTATAAAACCTTCAAACTTTATTAACACTACGAAGCAACCTCTGATCAAATACAGGGCACAGCWAACTCACAGATCAAATTCATATATAAAACAGCGGCACCAGAAATCAGATTTCCCAAAGCCTCAATTTCATAATTTTCTAGGCGTTAGGGAATAGGTTTGTCCCAGGACCCTCGAATAATACGCCCAACTCTAAACCATGCTCAAGGGTCCCTGTGTTATGGACACGTAGTATTTTCTAGATACCCCATTTATGAATATCGTACAAAAAGATACTTGCTCCTCAATTTGCCTTCTATTTTACAGATTGGAGGATCCAGCGAAGTAGAAGTAAACGAGAAGAAAGACAGAGTTACCGATGCTTTGAATGCTACCCGTGCAGCAGTAGAAGAAGGCATTGTCCCTGGTGGTGGAGTAGCTTTACTCAGGTGTACTAATAACCTAACCAACCTTACACTAGATAATCCCGATCAACAGATTGGTGTAGAATTAGTCATTAAAGCGCTACGAAAGCCACTACATACCATTGCTGAAAATGCTGGTGTTGAGGCAGCACTTGTTGTTGAGAAGGTGAGTGGGGAACAGAAATCACGTTGACAAAGGTGTATTTTATTCGAAAGTGTCTCAAAAAATACCTTGTTATAATACATCTCAGTCAAAGTGTTAAGAAACAGAAAATGCTTAGTGGGACATTAGTATTTGGCTACCGGAACCTAGTTTTAGTAAATACCTTATGGTTAAATTTCAACGTTTTTCATACACTCTGTACTTTATGCCATAAACCTTTCAAACGTTGACCGGCAAGACACTACAGTACCTTCATATAGGCCCTTTGTACAACACACCTATCTGGAGGTCGAAATAATGAAATATATTACCACCTAAGTGCGATCCGCAAAGTTTGATGTCTCCGTCACCGACTAGCATCTCAATGACCATCAGTCAAAGAACTGAAATAAAAATAATAAAACAATATCTTGAGGTAGATTTTCAACTGAATTAAAGATCTTAGTCCTAGCGTCGGCGAACGAGACATGAAATTTCGCGGGACGCACTTCAACAATAATAATGGTAGTAACATATATCGTTCGTCAAGAAAAGAGAAGCGCCCTGAACCGGGTGAACCAGGAATGCCTGAAATGCAGGCTACGTGTGATGCATTTTCAGACCCTTTGATGTAATTTTTCGTTCCATTCTTTGCTCAGGTATCAAGACAAGACGGTAACTCAGGATATGACGCACTCAATAACAAATACGTAGACATGATTCAAGAAGGCATCATCGATCCTACCAAGGTTGTACGTACCGCCATTACAGATGCTGCAGGGGTTGCCTCACTTCTCACCACCGCTGAGACAGTCATTGTAGAAGCTCCCAAGGACGAGAAAGAACCAATGGGAGGAATGGGTGGTATGGGAGGAATGGGTGGAATGGGTGGAATGGGAGGGATGATGTAAGTTCCTCACTTGGTCACATAAATGATGACTCATAAAATGCTCACTCAAGAACTTTAAGCCTATTGCAAAAAAAGGTAAAAATCCAGCTCAGAAAACCAACAAGAATAGAGCCTTACTGCTTCTAAGGGTCGAAAAGAGTTCTTTTATAATACCAGCTTGTTGCTAAGTATTTGTTATACTTGTAGCATTCGTGTTTGTGATTTCGCTGTTAGATGTTGAGTGTCATGAATTGCCTATCATTAAATGTTCTTGCTTATACATTGATTCTTCCTATGAAAAATCGTAACTGTAAAATGAACGCTTTGTAACTTTCTTATGGGTTGTAACATTAAAGTGTTTCTCCAATTTAAAAGGAGTTTTATCTTCACATTACATCGATACCCAGAAACTGCATCAAGGACGATGGAAGTCAGGGCAGGGCTACAATTCACAATGCGTATTACAACCTAGCGTGTTATTAGGTTTTGTGGAGATAGAAAACTGGAGAACCCAGAGAAACCCCCTTGAATCAAGGAATCCTGACAGACTCTACTCGCATGTAATGACAAGTCCACGAGTGAACTAACGCTATCTCATCCTTGACTCTTTATTTAGAGTTTGTATCAATCCTCTGACATTTATTCAAACAGAATGTCGTGAAACAATACAAAATTTAACCACGGCCCTGAGAAGCCCGAAAAAGCGCAACTCCTTAAACTCTAAAAAAAACTTTTGGGATTCAAGAGCCTCCCAGGTTTACATCAAAGTAATATTCTTTGAAAAGTCCTTGTGATTGAGGGTGTGACCCGGCATATCTAAGGATAAAATGTTTACATAAAGGATTGTAATCGAAGTAGTATAGCCTGCCTGTCTTCTCGGGCTATGAGAAGTAAGGTTTTATATTCTAAATATTCCTTTAAAACTACTGGAACTAATAGTGATTTTTTTATAAACCCATAAAATAAGATTTATCTATTAACACATAATCGGTGTGTGGTAGCGGTTATTAGTATAGTAAATCGCACGATCTCGAGTACAATTYGGAATTTATAGGTAAATAGTATCTATAATTCCGAAACGTACGAGAACATACGATTTTTTGTTTAAAATACACTCAACAAAATTGAGGAATCTGTTGGGACTCTACAGAATACAATTTGGGAGTAACTGTACTCCTCTTGTCCAGTCAGAATCAGGTAATTTTGTTGAGTGTATTATAAGCGAGACAAAGTATTCAGTGAAAGTTTATTGACTGTGTTTCACTACTTCAACTTGTACTAGTTTGTATCAGTAATCATTACGCTAACATTTATTTCACGGGTTTATGAAAATCACTATTTGCTTTGTGTAGTTGCAGTGGTTTTGGGGAGTGGATGAGGTGGTGCCGCTAAGTAGGCTATATATCTACTATTTCCTATTCTTTTCGAATAAAATAAAATATAACATGATATGACTAAAAGCTACTGCAAATCTGACAAATAGCCATTTCCCAGGTGATTAACGTCAGCCTGCAGCGCGCGCAAGAATTCTTCGCTATACATCATGACGTAACTACATTACATCACAATCAGCTTTCTTTCCGTGAACAAAGCCTATTTCAGTCAGTACTTCAGAGTGACAACACGAGTTTTATAGACGTTCAAAATGTCGGACATTTTTCTGAAGGCGATGTGGGAGGCAGCCGAGGTTGTTCTTTCAAAACCTCCTGAAAGAAGAGAAAAAGAAGAAATTGAAAACATCTTGGCGTGGTTTAGACACCGCAGCCCGCTGTTCAAAACACTAGAAGATGGTGTGTAAGGAGAGTTCTGGGATTGATTCTCTTTCAACATGCATGTATCTTCCTCTTTCTTTCTTTCTTTCTTTCTTTCTTTCTTTCTTTCTTTCT